GCTAGGCTTAGGTTAGTATGTAAAGATGAGCAGATTGGCTGGTTGGACTTGTGGGATCAGTTCAGTGAGAGAAGGGAGCTTTTTTGAATGGATGATTTACATTTAAATAAGATAAGGGCTGGCTTGTTTGCTACGGCTATTAACTCAGCTGTAATTGTAAGGGAAGTTTTAAACTAAGACTAGGTAGTGGTGAGGACCAGGAAAAACTGAATGCAAAAAAATAAGAGGCAAAGAAATGTTTAGGATATGAAATGAGTATAGAAATAGTTCTAAGGATAGGCTTAATTGTTATTATTGTAATGCTAGAAGCATAAGAAATAAGATAGATGACTTTGGTAGGAATGGAGGATTTTTATATCATAGGAATAACTGAAACATGGTTAAAAGTAGATGATTTTGATGACAGAAATTTCTTTGAAATACAGGGTTACAGGCTATTTAATAGCTCTAGAGTATCAAAGAGGGGGTTAGGAGTTGCTTTATATGTAAAATGTGAGTTACATCCTATTGAAGTTGAGGATATCAACGATAATAGCAAGGAAATTGAATCTGTTTGGGAGTCTGTTAGTGGATATAAAGGGAAAAGGCTTTTAGTGGGAATTTGTTACAGACCATCAAATCATACTGATGAAATTAGTGAGAAATTTTACAGTGAGATTAAGATTTCAGCTGTTCATGAGGTCATAATTATGGGTGATTTTAATTTCAGGCATATAGATTGGGAAATTCTAGAGTCAAACCATGAGAGAAAAACGTTTTTGGAAACTGTTCAAGATATCTTTCTTCACCAATTAGTCAAGGAACCTACTAGAAACAATGCTATTTTAGAGTTATTGTTAACTTCAAATACAGAAATGATTGAGAGGGTAGAAATTGGGGAACATCTGGGTGCAAGTGATCATTGCTCTATTAGGTTCAATGTTTTGCTACATATATGGAGATAAAGAATAATGATAATTTAGTTATAAATTCCAAGAAAGCAAATTTTGAAGGGTTGCAACAAGAATTATCTGTTGTGAATTGGGCAGCTGAATTATTTGTAGATTTTGATCAGATGTGGAAAATTTTTAAAGATAAGTTTTTAAATATTCAAGGTAAACATATTCCTTTTAGAATGAAAAAGGTAACTGCAAGTTAAAAACCAGATTGGTAACAAAGAGTATAAAAGATAAAATTAAAGAAAAGCATCATAAATTTAAGTAAATTAAATTGACTGGTATGACTGGTATTTAAAAGATTATAGAAAATCAAGAAAGTTGGTGAAACAGGAAATTAAGACACTGAAAAAGATGAATGAGTAAAGGTTGGCTGAAAATGTAAAAATTAACAATAAGGATTTCTTTGAATACATTAAGGGTAAAAAAAATGTTAGGATGGGGTTAGAACCCTTGAGGGATGATAAAGGAAGGCTTGTATCTTGTGATTATGAGATGGCTGGGTTATTAAATTTTATTTTTTCTTTGGTTTTTACTAATGGAGATTTAAGCAGTATTTCACATCTTGAACAGTTGTTAGATGGAAACGAGATTGAACAAGATGACTGAATTAATTCTGAGCTGGTTAAGAAAAAATTGAGAAGTTTAAAAAATCATAAGGTTCCTGGGCCAGATAATATTTCCACAAGGGTTTGAAGGAGGTTAATGATTGGATATGTGAGCCACTTGCTACTATTTTTTGTCAGTCCTTGAATAGTGGGCAGGTACCAGAGGATTGGAAGTTAGCTAATGTAACTCCTCTTTTCAAGGAAGATGATAAAAATTGTCCCAGTAATTATAGACCCATTAGTCTTACATAGTTGGGAAAATTTAGTAAAGTCTGTTAAAAAATGCCTTGCAAAGTCATTTAACAAAGTTTAAAATTTTATTGGATAGTCAACATGGTTTCACTAAGATAAAATCTTGCCTTACAAATCTTTTAACGTTCTTTGAAAAGGTTACTGCTTATGTAGATGAGGGTAAGGGTGTAGATTTGGTGTATCTGGATTTTCACAAAGCATTTGACAAGGTGCCACATAAAAGGCTTGTAAAAAACATTATCTCTGTAGGTGTGGGGGATAATTTAGCAAATTGGATAGAAGAAAGCAAAGGGTTGTTACAAATAGAGTTCAGTCAAACTGGATTAATGTCACAAGTGGGGTACCTCAGGGCTCAGTTCTTTGTTCTTTTTGTTTTTATATCAATGACATAGATGAAGGAATAGTCAATAAGTTACTTAAATTTCCAGATGATATTAAGGTCTTGAAGAGGGTGCTGCTGATTTACAAAGGAATTAGAAGATCATTTAGCGAGTTGGGCAAATAAATGGCAGATGGGTTTAATTATAATAAATGCAAGATAATGCATGTGGGCTATAATTTAAATTATA